CCTGTAATGGTTTGATCTACTTTTTGTTCTGGTCTTTGTGAATAGTTGTCTCATTATCACATATCTTTTCTTATAGTTGGTGCAAGATGATAAAAATATATCTTTTATATTCAAACCTTCGATACAATTCTATTGAACCATTAGGCATTACCAATTAATCAATATAGTTTTGATGTTTTAAATTCTGTAAACTCTGTAATCTGAGGTAATGACCTTAAAAATTATGTGCGTTTTAGCAATGCTTTTCACAGCAACATTTACTGCTTAAAAACACACAATTTTGGCATCGGGGCAGTATAAGTTTTTCCCTCCGTACATCTAAATGTACGTCCCATATATACTTTCCTCAAGCATTACTTTAAAATCGTATCTTGGAATGATTTGGAATTTGGTATGCAGCTACATCATGATGAGTTGTATCCTGTATGTTAATTTCAGCATGGTTGCGCTTCAACTTCCTGTTACATATGTAGGTTGGGGCATACGTATCCTATGGACACATTTCCTCTAGTTGTAACTATGAAACATTTTTGTTGTAATTGCTGGTTCGATACGACTGCATCAGTATCCATTCGATCAATTAACAGTGGAAAGATATTGGCTTTTGAACAGTTTTAAAAGAAAGATGTCTGCCTTTATGCTTGAGATGGAGGAGGCATTTTATGAATTTGCAATTTTGAAAATACAGTTGAATTAAAACATAAAGTCAGTACAATTGCAATAAACTGAGTCATTTGTCCTGTTATAATGAATCAATCGACAATCAATAAGATTTGCAAAGTACACAAACATCAAAAGAAATTACTAGTTTTGTATCAAGTGTGTGTGTAATGGCTGCTTAATGTCCAGCGGCAAATATATGTGTATATTAAGGATGAAAACATGCAAATATGTATTTTTGAACACTCGTAGGTTTTTATAAAGGTAAGGGTTTCCTTTTTATACCCTGACCCCCAACAGGGAAGGGGGGTATATTGGTTTACCTCTGTCCGTCCGTCAGTCCATGTGTCCGTCCGTAACAACCTTTCGTCACACTTTTCTCAGCAACTACTAATCATAGTCAATTGATATTTTGACACAAGCTTCCTATAGGTGTGCCATTTAGTGGGATACAATTTTAGACTCAGGCAACATCCAGTCTGTGCCAAACGACATCGGTCCGACAGTCCTGACCGATGAAATACATGCAGGTCCGCAAAATCGTATGTCAAATCTGGTCCGTATGTCTTGTGGTTTCAACGTCTAGGTTCTGTGACTTAGTATTGTATTTTGATATGCGTGTGCACAGATCGATAGAAATGAAAACTACGGACAGACAAAATTATGTTTGGCACAGACTGAACATCTACTTCCTGTTTAACAACTTTGTTTATTTTTCAACATATGAGTTTGATTTTGAAATTTTTCTTCACAGTTTTTTCAGCAACTACTAATCACAAACATTTGATATTTTGACACAAGCTTCCTATAGATGTGCCATATCTTAGGATATGTTTTCAGACCTAGGCAGGGGGGGGGGGGGGGGTACCGTATCCTCAGTGAGCATTAGCTCACAGCTAATCTTGTTTACTTTTTGTTCAAATTGCCAATTTTTAGCTCACCGGGGCCCTTCTTCGGGCCCCATGTGAGCTTATGTCATCACTTGGCGTCCGTCGTCATTCGTCGTCGTCTGTCGTTGTAAACTATTTCAAAAATCTTCTCCTCTGAAACTACTGGGCCAAATACCTTCAAACTTTAACTAAATGTTCCTTAGGGTATCTAGTTTATAAATTGGATCCGAAGTTTTGACCCATCGACAAACATGGCCGCCATGGCTAAAAATAGAACATAGGGGTCAAAATTTGACCATAATTGTCAATTGACCCCTTAAGGAGTAATTGCCCTTTAAAGACAATTTTACACAATTTGTTCATCAAGTTTGTTAACATTTAAAAATCTTCTCCTCTGAAACTACTGGGCCAATTGCCTTCAAACTTTAAATAAATCTTCCTTAGGGTATCTTGTTTATAATATTGTATCCAAAGTTTGTATCCATCGACAAACATGGCCGCCATGGCTAAAAATAGAACATCAGGGTCAAATGCAGTTTTTATACGACCGCAAAAAAATTTTTGTGGTCGTATATTGGTATGACGTTGGCGTCGTCGTCCGGCGTCGTCCGGCGTCGTCCGAAGACACATTGGTTTTCGCACTCTAACTTTAGTTTAAGTGAATGGATCTTTATGAAATTTTACCACAAGGTTCAATACCACAAAAGGAAGGTTGGGATTGATTTTGGGGGTTATGGTAATAACAGTAAAGGAATTAGGGGCCAAAAAGGGGCCAAAAATAAGCATTTTTGTAACTTCCAGACATAACTTGTGTGTTAGTGTATGGATCTCTCTGACATTGTACCACAAGGTTCCATATCACTAAAGGAATGCTGGGATTGATTTTGGGGGTAATTGCCTCCAAATTTTAGGAATTAGGGGCCAAAAAAGGGGCAAAAAACAAGCATTTTTCTAGTTTCATGACAATAACTTGTGTGTAAGTGTATGGATCTTTCTGAAATTGTACTACAAGGTTCCATATCACAAAGGGAAAGCTGGGTTTGAGTTTGGGGGTAATTGCCCTAAACGTTTAGGAATTTGGGGCCAAAAAGGGGCCAAAAAACACATTTTTTTCTAGTTTCCAGACAATAACTTGTGTTCAAGTGTATGGATCTCTCTGAAATTGTACTGCAAGGTACCATACCACAAAGGGAAGGCTGCGATTGAGTTTGGGGGTGATGAATCATAATGGGGGTTCAAAAAATTTTTGGGGGGGGATTTATTTTTTTTTCCTTTTTTTTCTTTTTTTCCTTTTTTGTTTCTTTTAAAATTTTCCATTTTAAGTTGGTTATTTCTGATTTATATTTAAAATCAAATAATAATGATATGGTAGGAGATACACACCAAACAGGATGTGTAAATTATTATATAATAAGTATTGTGCAATAGCAAGAAATTTTCAATTGCACAGTATTGCACAATAGCAAGAAATCTTCAATTGCACAGTATTGCGCAATAGCAAGAAATCTTCAATTGCACAGTATTGCGCAATAGCAAGAAATATCCAATAGCACAATATTGCGCAATAGCAAGAAATTGTCAATTGTACAGTATTGCGCAATAGCAAGAAATATTTAATAGCACAGGATTGTGCAAAAGAAGATACTTCCTATAAATTGCTTATTTCTTGACCAATTTCAATGGGGTTTTATTCTTGATTTCATGGGGTTCTTTAATATGCTGAATCTAACCGTGTATTTAGTTTTTGGATTTTGGGCCCCGTTTTTAAATTGGTCCACATTGAGGTCCAAAGGGTCCAAAATTAAACTTTGTTTGATTTCATCAAAAATTGAATTATTGGGGTTCTTTGATATGCCGAATCTAACTGTGTATTTAGATTCTTAAATTTTGGTTCCGTTTTCAAATTGGTCTACATTAAGGTCCAAAGGGTCCAAAATTAAACTTAGTTTGATTTTAACAAAAATTGAATTCTTAGGGTTCTTTGATATGCTGAATCTAACCATGTATTTAGATTTTTGATTATGGGCCCAGTTTTCAAGTTGGTCCAAATCGGGGTCCAAAATTAAACTTTGTTTGATTTCAACAAAAATTGAATATATGGGGTTCTTTGATATGCTGAATCTAACCATGTATTTAGATTTTTGATTTTTGGGCCCAGTTATCAACTTTGTCCACATTGAGGTCAAAAGGGTCCAAAATTAAACTTTGTTTGATTTCATCAAAAATTGAATTATTGGGGTTCTTTGATATGCCGAATCTAACCGTGTATTTAGATTCTTAATTTTTGGTTCCGTTTTCAAATTGGTCTACATTAAGGTCCAAAGGGTCCAAAATTAAACTTAGTTTGATTTTAACAAAAATTGAATTCTTAGGGTTCTTTGATATGCTGAATCTAAACATGTATTTAGATTTTTGATTATGGGCCCAGTTTTCAAGTTGGTCCAAATCGGGGTCCAAAATTAAACTTTGTTTGATTTCAACAAAAATTGAATATATGGGGTTCTTTGATATGCTGAATCTAACCATGTATTTAGATTTTTGATTTTTGGGCCCCGTTATAAACTTTGTCCACATTGAGGTCAAAAGGGTCCAAAATTAAACTTTGTTTGATTTCATCAAAAATTGAATTCTTGGGGTTCTTTGATATGCTGAATCTAACCATGTATTTAGATTTTGGATATTGGACCATAATAGGTGAATGTCCAATTTAAAATTTTTAAGTTCTTAGACCACATTCAATCTGTGTTAGAAACCTATGCTGTGTCAAATATTTAATCACAATCCAAATCCAAAGCTGTATCAAGCTTGAATGTTGTGTCCATACTTCCCCCAACTGTTCAGGGTTCGACCTCTGCGGTCGTAGTCAAGCTGCGCCCTGCGGAGCATTTTATTGGCTTATATCTCAAAAACTAAATCTTTTAGAGCAAATGTGACATGGGGTAAAATTGTTTAATTGGACAAGATCTATCGGCTCTGAAATTTTCAGAAGAATCGAACAACCCATTGTTGGGTTGCTGCTCCTGAATTGGTAGTTTTAACAAAATTTTGCAGTTTTTTGTTATTATTTTGAATATTATTATAGATATATATAAACTGTAAGCAGCAATAATGTTCAGCAAAGTAAGATCTACAAAACAGTTAATATGACCATAATTCTCAATTGACCCCTTAAGGAGTTATTGCTCTTTAAAGACAATTTTACACAATTTGTTCATCAACGTTTGCTAACATTTAAAAATCTTCTCCTCTGAAATACAGGTGAGCGATTCAGGCTCTTGAGAGCCTCTTGTTACATAATGCACCTTCTATTTCAGATTTTGATCTGATTGATATTTTGCTCACAGTAATTCTAGTGTGTAATTTTTTTTTACCCAATATGATACGCTCTTAATGACATGATAAGCTTTAAAGAGCTCAAATTCACTGTGCTTTATCCTTAATTTTTTATAGGAAATCCAGCTTACTGGCATGGATATCCTGATATTCTAATAGATAGAAGTACTGTTAAAGTTGATATAAATGAAAGTTGTTGTGAAACAGAAGAAACTCAAGAATATGAATGGCCAGAACCAGTTGCAAAGAAGCAAAGACTATTAGAACAGACAAATGGCGCAGGTGGAGAAGGATCCATTTTAACCCTAAAACCTGATATTTTTACTACATGTGTCGAGGTTAAAAAAGATCAATTCTTTAAAACTGAAAAAGCCTTAAGACAGTCATTTGCTCAGACTATAACAAATGCTTTTTATCAAGTAAAAGAGAAGCCAAAGCTCCAGAGTCTTTGTATTCCATCATTTTTAGCTTCAGATAATAAAGTAAGGATTATTATGTACAACTGTGAACAGGACAGGCTGTATATATCTGAAGATATGTATCTGTTTGATACTTTATGTGACCATGGCCTGAATGTTGGAACAATTGTCTCCATATGGCTGGCATTAAATTTTGAAAACTTTCAAAATGGGGTTGATGAAGAAGATCTTACAGCTATAGCACTAAAGAAGTCATCATTTCAAGAAAAAATGCCAGATACAGTACTGTCAGTCTACAAACATCAGTTGTACAGACCTCTGCCAAGGAAAAGAAAACAAACAGAGCAACCACCTCGTACTACTTTGGGTGTAAGACTTCTCAAATCTAAATATGCCAAAAATCTCCTAGAGAGGTTGGAAAGCTTAGACTCAAGATTTTTTAAAACACCTTGCAAGTAGTCCACCAGGTACGTTATCCAGACTGTGAGTTCCTTTTAACAGGATTAAAATTTTGTATCCAACCTTAATCAAGAAAAATCATAACTTCCTAGCTTTGATCAAGGTGTGAAAGGTACAAAATGTACTTAATAAGTAAGCTTAAGGATGTCATATTCTGTGTAATCAGAGTTGACAACATGTAGGTTTGTGATTTGAATAATCCATCTATGGTCAAGTATTAGCCACATATCAAATGCAAAAAAGGCTTAATTTTTATTTAAACTTTTCTTTAGAAATAACTCCAAATTAATTTAAAACTATCTAAAATTTGTGTTTTGTACGACAGTGAAATTTTTTGGTCCTACATGTGTATATGTGTATCTTCCCTGTCTGATGGTGGCCACAGCATCTGGATTAGTTGTTACCTAAGGATAATTTTCATCATTTGTTATTTAATTGTTATGCCCCATCCAAATAGCAGTGCTTGGGTAGAATAGGCACACTAGGTTTCCTTGCACTGGATCTGTAAAGGGGCTTTCATGCCTGTGGGGATATACAAATACACAGTCATGTGTCAATTGAATGCCTTACTTTTGGCACATTAGAGAACCCTGTATCAGATTTTGGCAATAGAGTACAGGCCTGGCGAAAGTTTAACAAAAGGAGTCAAATTGAAAGTTGTTTTGACATCTTGCTGTTGAATCATGATCCATCACTGGCAAATCTTGTCCCCTCCCCTTATGAAGCTCCTTTTCGTGGAAACAACTCAGATCAAATTTTTGCCCGTGCTTTTCTCCACATCTGTCCCTAATCAAACTTCATTCCTATCTGAAATACAATGTAGCTTGCTAATTATGTCTCCCGATCGACAATGTCGGGTGACATATTGCTTTTCCTCTGTTTCTTTTTCTGTATTTTTATTATTATACTTCCACCTATTTTGTCCGGCAGTTTTCTCAGAGACAATGGAACCAATCTAAATGATTGTTCACTGTAATGAGGAACACCAACTTTTGTGTTGCAGTAGAACTTTGGAACTAAAAAATGGCTGCCGTTACCGTGGAAACCGAAAAAAGGTGAAAAATTTAATTTTGGAGTTTGGTGAATAATTTGAGAATGCTTAAACTTAAAATCATTAGATTTTAATACATTGTAGGTGTCCACTATATACTGGTTTGGGATGATTTTGGCAATCATTGGAAAGTTCTACTATGTCATGTATGTTGCCATGGAAACTACACAAAAAATTTCAAAAATATCAAAATGCTCCAAATTTAATGAAACTTCACAGTAACGATGAGCAACATTTGCAGATGTGGAATTTGGCATTGGAATTTCCAAAATGGCTGCCGTTACCATGGAAACAATGCAAAAATTGTAAAAATGCTCCAAAAACCTTTAAGTAGCATTTCCTTTCTTAAAATGGTAGGTCAAATCCATTGAAACTTTGATGGTGTGTTCCTTCCCATGTACCAATGTGGCATCTGTCATTAAATTTTAGGAATGGTCTCTGTTACCATGGAAACCAGCAAAAATGTCAAAAAATTCAAAAATTTTAAAATGCTTTAAACTTAGTGAAACTTAATATGATCCTTAACTGGCAAGTCTAGATGAGACTTTTGACTTTGGAATTTCCAAAATGGCCACCGTTGCCATGGAAACTGCAAAAATGTCAAAAATTTTAAAATGATCAAAAATGCTCTAAATGGTTCTGAAAATTTACAGAAACATGCATATCCATGCATATATGTGCATTCCCTGTTTAAAATTTTCGAAATGGCTGACGCTTAGTGGCAATGGGGGAAGGGTGACATCCGCTATTGCTTTCAATGGCAATTCTAGTTTTTTTTCTTGCTTTTAAAAGCTTGTGAAAACCCAAAATGATCACTTGTAAAACAATTAAATTGCTTTTAAAAGCTTGTGAAAACCCAAAATGTTCACTTGTAAAACAGTTAAATTGTAGTTAATGCTCTTTTTACATAATAATCTTGCTTCATTGAGGTAGCGAGGAGTTAAAATTCGCTATAGCAAGAGGTCAGGGGTTCAGAACAAAATGTCGGTTGTTAAAGATCCACATGACATTGCATAAAACACATCAATAAATATATCCAGTTGTTTAAATATATTTTAAATTTATAAAAAAAGGAGTGTTGCCATCTGTATCATAAATTAATTTCCCCTTTTTCAAAAGTTCTCAATTGCAGGGATCTATAATTTCAAACACTTCAAGATAGCAAAAATTTTGTTTACACTGTATTTTATACTAAATGTTTATACATATACATTAAGATGAAAGATGTAGTCTGAATTTAATTTACAAATTAGTTGACCAGAACCATGCTAGTATGATAATGAAATAAAGGCAGCAGTAGCTAGCAATTCATAAAATTGAGAATGGAAATGGGGAATGTGTCAAAGAGACAACAACCTGACCATAGAACAGACAACAGCAGAAGGTCACCAACAGGTCTTCAATGCAGCGAGAAATTCCCGCACCCGGAGGCGTCCTTCAGCTGGCCCCTAAACAAATATATATACTAGTTCAGTGATAATGAACGCCATACTAAACTCCAAATTGTACACAAGAAACTAAAATTAAAAATAATACAAGACTAACAAAGGCTAGAGGCTCCTGACTTGGGACAGGCGCAAAAATGCGGCGGGGTTAAACATGTTTATGAGATCTCAACCCTCCCCCTATACCTCTAGCCAATGTAGAAAAGTAAACGCATAACAATACGCACATTAAAATTCAGTTCAAGAGATGTCCGAGTCTGATGTCAGAAGATGTAACCAAAGAAAATAAACAAAATGACAATAATACATAAATAACAACAGACTACTAGCAGTTAACTGACATGCCAGCTCCAGACTTCAATTAAACTGATTGAAAGATTATGTCTTCATCATATGAATATCAGGCACAATCCTTCCCGTTAGGGGTTTAGTATCATACCATCATAACATATATAAGAAGAACATAACCCGTGTCATGCCAACAACTGATTTTTATATGACCGCAAAAAAATTTTTGTGGTCGTATATTGGTATGACGTTGGCGTCGTCGTCGTCTGGCGTCGTCCGGCGTCGTCCGAAGACACATTGGTTTTCGCACTCTAACTTTAGTTTAAGTGAATGGATCTCTATGAAATTTTACCACAAGGTTCAATACCACAAAAGGAAGGTTGGGATTGATTTTGGGGGTTATGGTACTAACAGTAAAGGAATTAGGGGCCAAAAAGGGGCCAAAAATAAGCATTTTTGTAACTTCCAGACATAACTTGTGTGTTAGTGTATGGATCTCTCTGACATTGTACCACAAGGTTCCATATCACAAAAGGAATGCTGGGATTGATTTTGGGGGTAATTGCCTCAAGATTTTAGGAATTAGGGGCCAAAAAAGGGGCAAAAAACAAACATTTTTCTAGTTTCATGACAATAACTTGTGTGTAAGTGTATGGATCTTTCTGAAATTGTACTACAAGGTTCCATATCACAAAGGGAAAGCTGGAATTGAGTTTGGGGGTAATTGCCGAAACGTTTAGGAATAAGGGGCCAAAAAGGGGCCAAAAATAAGCATTTTTCTAGTTTCCAGACAATAACTTGTGTTCAAGTGTATGGATCTCTCTGAAATTGTACTGTGAGGTACCATACCACAAAGGGAAGGCTGGGATTGATGATGGGGGTAATTGCCTCAATATTTTAGGAATTAGGGGCAAAAAAGGGGCAAAAAACAAGCATTTTTCTAGTTTCAGGACAATAACTTGTGTGTAAGTGTATGGATCTTTCTGAAATTGTACTACAAGGTTCCATATCACAAAGGGAAAGCTGGGTTTGAGTTTGGGGGTAGTTGCTCTAAACGTTTAGGAATTTGGGGCCAAAAAGGGGCCTCAAAACACATTTTTCTAGTTTCCAGACAATAACTTGTGTTCAAGTGTATGGATCTCTCTGAAATTGTACTGCAAGGTACCATACCACAAAGGGAAGGCTGGGATTGAGTTTGGGGGTGATGAATCATAAGGGGGTTCAAAAAATTTGGGGGGGGGGGTTTTCTTTCTTTTTTTCCTTTTTTTTTTTCTTTTAAAATTTTCCATTTTAAGTTGGTTTTTTCTGATTTATATCTAAAAGCAAATAATAATGATATGGTAGGAGATACACACCAAACAGGATGTGTAAATTATTATATAATAAGTATTGTGCAATAGCAAGAAATTTTCAATTGCACAGTATTGCACAATAGCAAGAAATCTTCAATTGCACAGTATTGCGCAAAAGCAAGAAATCTTCAATTGCACAGTATTGCGCAATAGCAAGAAATATCCAATAGTACAATATTGCGCAATAGCAAGAAATTGTCAATTGTACAGTATTGCGCAATAGCAAGAAATATTTAATTGCACAGTATTGTGCAAAAGAAGATACTTCATATAAATTGCTTATTACTTGACCAATTTTAATGGGGTTTTATTCTTGAATTCTTGGGGTTCTTTAATATGCTGAATCTAACCGTGTATTTAGTTTTTGGATTTTGGGCTCCTTTTTAAATTGGTCCACATTGAGGTCCAAAGGGTCCAAAATTAAACTTTGTTTGATTTCATCAAAAATTGAATTATTGGGGTTCTTTGATATGCCGAATCTAACCGTGTATTTAGATTCTTAATTTTTGGTTCCGTTTTCAAATTGGTCTACATTAAGGTCCAAAGGGTCCAAAATTAAACTTAGTTTGATTTTAACAAAAAATGAGTTCTTAGGGTTCTTTGATATGCTGAATCTAAACATGTATTTAGATTTTTGATTATGGGCCCAGTTTTCAACTTGGTCCAAATCGGGGTCCAAAATTAAACTTTGTTTGATTTCAACAAAAATTGAATATATGGGGTTCTTTGATATGCTGAATCTAACCATGTATTTAGATTTTTGATTTTTTGGCCCCGTTATCAACTTTGTCCACATTGAGGTCAAAAGGGTCCAAAATTAAACTTTGTTTGATTTCATCAAAAATTGAATTCTTGGGGTTCTTTGATATGCTGAATCTAACCATGTATTTAGATTTTGGATATTGGACCATAATAGGTGAATGTCCAATTTAAAATTTTTAAGTTCTTAGACCACATTCATTCTGTGTTAGAAACCTATGCTGTGTCAAATATTTAATCACAATCCAAATGCAAAGCTGTATCAAGCTTGAATGTTGTGTCCATACTTGCCCCAACTGTTCAGGGTTCGACCTCTGCGGTCGTATCAAGCTGCGCCCTGCGGAGCATTTTATTAAATAAATGTGTTTAGTTCCGATGCAAAGACCCTATAAGTGAATCAATATTAACGCCAAAATATGCAATCTTTAATGACCTGACAACAGTATCGTAACTATATCCCTTCTTAATAAGTCTATTTAAAGGTTTTGTTAGCTTCAGAGGTGAATACTGACATTTTTGTGCTTTATAAAGAATATTTCCATAAAAAATTGGATGTGAAATACCTGAACGTATAAGAAGTCTGCATGTTGAGCTATATTTACGAATGATGTCCTTATACTGATGATAAAATTTAGTAAATGTTTTGACTAGTTTGTGATATCGAAAACCCTGGTGTAATAATTTTTCAGTAATACATAAATTTCTCTCGTTAAAATCTAAAACATTGTTACATACACGAGCGAATCGAACAAGTTGAGATATATAAACATGCACCGTAAGGGAACGTCACCATCTAAAAATGGATAATTAACGATAGGAAATGAAAAATCATCTCTTTTATCATATATTTTAGTATTAAGCTTTCCGTTAATGATATAGATATCAAGATCGAGGAAAGGGCAGTGGTCATTGTTAGTATTAGCTTTATTTAAAGTAAGTTCAACAGGATAAATTTCTTCAGTATACACACTGAAGTCGTCATTATTGAGAGCCAAAATATCATCCAAATATCTAAAAGTATTATTGCATTTGTGTATCAGATGTTGTTTCGATGGGTCTTTGCTGATTTTTGTCATAAATTGTAACTCATAGCAATACAAAAAAAGGTCCGCAATAAGTGGTGCACAGTTAGTCCCCATTGGAATTCCGATAACCTGACGATATACGGAATCTCCAAAGCGAACAAAAATGTTATCTAGTAAAAATTCAAGGGCATATATAGTATCAAAGCATGTCCAATTGACATAGTTTTTTTGTTTATTGCTACTAAAAAATGACCTAAAAGAGTTTGAACATATATATTCACATTCTGACTTTTTAAATGCCCATTTAATTAGGTGTGTGAATTTTTTCTTAATGAGAATGTGTCTGTATTTTTATGCCCCCCAAGACAAATGTTGAGGGCATATTAATTTACCCCTGTCCATCCGGATTAGGATAAAGTGTTTGTCCAGCTATCTCCTCCTACATTTTCGGAGGTACAACATTAATATTTTGTAGGTTGTTCATACATATAATGAAGGTATGCATGGCTACAGGATTTTGATTTTTTATACGACGGCAAAAAATTTGCGGTCGTATTATGGTATTTTCACATTTTATAAGAAAGATTGAGCTAGGGCCTTTGTGTACTCAGATATTTTCTTCTTTTATTTATATGTGCTTTTGATATTTGTCACTGGGTGTAAGGCAACCAACTATCAATCAATTTATCATTTATACAAGAACAAACTAAATTATGGATTGTACATTTGTATGTAAAGATTGGTGCCATCAAGCATATTTTTCTTGATCAGTATAAAATAAAAATTCTTTATTTTTAGGTGATATTCACCCTTTTAGAAATGTCAAGGAAGCATTTAGAAAAGTTGAAAAACAACCAAGAGCTTGATGATCATGATGAAGCTACTATTTATTATTCACCACCTTATGATATTCTCTGTGAAGAATCTTGAGGTATCTTGATAGAAAATTTTATGAGACTTAATAATATAAATATATAAATGATATTGTACAAAGTATTTTACACAAAATCTTTTTAAGATCACCTGGTATAACAGACCATGTCAGGTTTTGCCATCAATTGGCATCCATTAATGTTGTTTATCTGTGTGACTGTCCAAAATTTCTCTGAGAATACTGGGCCAAACTATATCAAACTTATACCTGAATGTTTCCTAGTGAATCTAGTAAAAAACTGTATATTGGGATTTGATCAATCAAACATGGCTGCTGTTAATAAAAATAGGGGTAAAATGCTGTTTTTGAATTGAATAATATTTTAAATATAAAAGCAGTAAGAGAAAAATTGACAAGTATAGAATTGTCACCAGGTCAAAGTCTATATACCTTCTGGAATTTTTAGAAAAATGGACAACCTGTTTTAGAGATACATGTATTGCCCCCAAAATGTACAATTTTACCAAATCTCACAGTTTTTGGCTTACACTTGAAAAATTAAAACTGTAAGAGCAAAACTGACCAAGGGTTACAATGATCAGCAGGTCAAGGTCTATTTAATATGGATTTTCATTTTCAGTAGATCAATTATAAAGGATCAATAAGATGAATGAATTTCAGAGAAAAGACAAAAAAATATTGTGTTTAAAAAAGCAGGTAGGGTTTATTTGACCCGAAAATCAGTGCCATAATCAACTTATATTATTCTTAAGTAAATTTTAATATCAGTTATCAGTTATTTGCCGTAAATGATAAACATGTTGTATTTATTTAATCTGTGTATTTACTGTAATCAAATTATTTGTTTATTAGCAATTGTATTGCTATTCAACAGTATAAGGTATTAAAAAAATGGGCTGGATCATAACACCAAATCTTATTTGGCAATTGTCTCAAAACTGTGATACTGTGGATTCATTTATTTTCGTGGGTACCAATTTTCGTGGTTTCAGGAAAAGTTGCAGTTTCGTGGATATTTAATTTCATTGTTTTGGTAAAGACTGCATACATTCCTTTAGAAAATTTGTAATTCGTTGAACATTTGAATTTGTGGTTCCTCTGTACCCACGAAATCCACGAAAATTGGTATCCAATGAATATTAATAAATTCACAGTATATAGATATAAATAGTAAAAAGTAAAACAATCGTTGATACAAGCCCTACAAAAATACGAGATAAGATTTACAAATAGGCAAACATAACTTATTACATAAGAGTGAAAATGAATATCAAAATGATTTTATGTCCTACAGTAAGGGGGAGGGGGTGTAAAGTGCTTCCTTATTAAAAGGCATCTCATTTTCCCCCTAAAAATTCAAATGTGTTTTATAAGAATGTCATGAAAACAATTGCCTTTAACTTGAATAAATAGCTACCTGCCCATGCTACTGTATTGTATGCCCTGAATGTTGTAATCAATCATTTCAAGGGCAATAAAGCATGTACAAAGTACATGTATCTATGATGAGTTTATTTGCATTCCTCCAAACTAAATGTATCATATCTTGATTGATGTCATTAACCCAAAGCCTAAAAATTGCTTAATTCATAGACCAATACATTTTTGATATGATAATTCTGAAAGGTCAGACACTAGGAACAGTCATGTACCTAAATGAAGACAAATGGATTGTTCAAAAAAATATCTTAATGATTTTTGACTACCTGTTGCATAAGTTTTTCTAAGGGTTTTTCAAAATCTTTTCAGGAACATAAATGTCGTTTTGACCAATAATTAATTTATGTTTATATAAAAATATGCAACAACAAAGGTCTAAAACCAAACAATCCTTGTCAACAGATTTTTTAATCCCCTACTGACAAAGTGGAAGGGGACCCCAGACTTGACCTCCGTCCATCCATCGATCAGTCTGTCTGTCCATCCGTCAGTCCTGCAAATCAGTTTTCCACACTTTTTTTTCATGCTTGAAGATAATGATTTGATATTTGGTGTATTGTTTTATCATTACAAGTTACAGATCAAGTTTGAAAATATGATCCGATCCGATGATTTTGTGCAGAGTTATGGTCCTTTGACTTAGAAAATTCAGTAAATTAATCAGTTTTCCGCACATTTTTTTGTCATTCTTGAAGATATTGATTTGACAATTGGTATATAGTTTTATCATGACAAGTTACAGTTCAAGTTTGCATTTTGTTCCGGTACAATGATTTTGTGCAGAGTTATTGTCCTTGGACTTAGAAAATTCACTAAAATAATCAATTTTCCGCACTTTACTTCGTCATGCTTGAAGATATTGATTTGATATTTGTTATATAGATTACACTGTGACAAGTTATAGATCAAGTTAGAATTTTGTTCCAATACAATGAATTTTTAACCGGTAGGGTTCTATGTATTGCCATTCAATACTCACAGAATACTTGTTTTAATTGAAAACCAGAAATTGGTCAGCAATGTATTATGGCTTATGACTCAGTAAAATATTAATGAATTGGCCTGTCAACTCTTTTTTGTTTATCTAACTTAAATGTATGATATCTGTGTAAATGGATTTGGTTCTGTTAAAAAGATTCATAAAAGTGTGTTTAAATATATTAATTTGTAAACATGTGCAAATACTTAACATTGTTGTATGCATCACATATCTTTTATCCATTATCAATGCATAATCATATAATTGGTATGACATGAAACAAGGACAGTTTATATTGCATTTTACCAATGTATCATTAGAAACTATATTATGTTACATTTTTATTGTATCTACTTTATTGTGTTTTGTTGTTATTATATTCAGTCAGGGGACTTATTTAAGTAGCAAATTCGAAGTTTTGTCACAAATTGTGATTTTGTAGTTTTACCAAAATTTTAAACACATAGATTTAGATAATATCTTGCCTTTGATGCAATCATTTAGCTGTAAATTCTATTTTAGTTGAAAAAATGCTATAATAAAGGCTTTACATAATGACCTGATACTTTCTTAACACATTTTTCCCAGCAGTGGGAGTATTTTTACTGTAAAATTCAAGGTTTCATCTTACAGATTATGTAATAAAATTCTACTGTTCGCCGATCAACATGATCAAAATTTCACTGTTCGGGGGTGTTGAAATTAGTGGGGGTTATTAAAATAATGATACTTAAAGAAGTGATTTTTTTGGAAGGAAATTGAGGTATGATACTTAAACAAGTGATTTTTATGTCATTATCTCAAATTTAGTACAAGGTCATCACCTGACATAACCGGTCATCCTATCAATACAGATGTTGGTTCTGATAATTTTAGCAACATAATTAGTCCCTGGATCTTTAGTATTGTATATTTAAAGCTACAATGAAATTAAATCACTTAGTCTAGTGATTATTTGTACTACTTAAATAGGTGATTATTAAAGAAAGACAACTCTTACTTCCAACCTTTGTGGACATAATGTTTCTTGAATCAGTGATTTAGAAAATCACTCATTTAAGTAAGTCCCCTGACTAATATTCATATTGTTATATTAAAATGTCTATATATACAAATTAGTGGCAATTATTATACACATTAATGTATTAGTAATTTAAGAAAGTTGTAACATTTTCATTTTAACTGTTTGACTGTGGTTTACTGCTTATAAGCCTCTAGTGCCCAAAGACTAGTCAGTGGTGCCGATTGGAATCTCTTTTTCTGTCTGTCCATCTGCACTTCTGTGAAGTACGCTATATATATCAAGATTGCCTCAACAATTTTCTTTTTTTGACCCCAGGGAACGTCTTGTGTTGGAAATAGAAATACTGGGCGTCCTTCTGTCCGTCTGGCCTTGTAAGGCCTCTCACTGTACAGTTCTTGCTAGATTTTTATGAAAATAAGTGCACAGCAATTTTTTTTAAAAGAGTTTTGCCCCTTGGAAACATTAATGTTATGAAAAATTGCATTGTTAGTGCTCTCATGTGTTAAAATCTTGTCAAATTTTTATGACATTTATATCATAGGTTTATATGAGTAATGTCGTGGACCAGTTCAGAAAATAGTGTCCATCAACTATTATTAGTCCCCTACCGACGAAGTCGAAGGGGACCTTAGGTTTGCACTCCATCCTTTTGTCTGTCTGTCTGTCTGTCCATGCGTCAGTCTGTCAAATCAGTTTTCCACACTTGTTTTCTTCGTGCTTAAAGATATTGATTTGATATTTGGTGTATTGTTTTATCGTGACAAGTTACAAATCAAGTTCGAATTTTGTTCCGGTCTGACGATTTTGTGCAGAGTTATGGTCCTTGAACTTAGAAAATTCACTCAAATAATCAGTTTTCTGCACTTTTTTTGTGTCATGCTTGAAGATATTGATTTGATAATTGGTATAAGGTTTTATCATGACAAGTTACAGATCAAGTTCGAATTTTGGTCCGGTCTAATGATTTTGTGCAGAGTTGTGGCCCTAAGACTTAGAAAATTCACTCAAATAATCAGTTTTCCTCATTTTTTTCGTCATGCTTGAAGATATTATTTGATAATTGGTATATAGTTTTATCATGACAAGTTACAGATCAAGTTCGAATTTTGACCCGGTCTGATGATTTTGTGCAAAGTTATGGTCCTTGGACTTAGAAAATTCACTCGAATAATCAATTTTCCACAATTTTTTTTCATCATGCTTGAAGATATTGACTTGATATTTGTTATATAGTTTACACCAGGACAAGTTATAGATCAAGTTAGCATTTTGTTCCATTACAATGAATATTTAACCAGTAGGGGACTATGTTTTGCAGGGCAATACTCACTGAATGCTTGTTGAAAGAGTTATGCCCCTTAGAACATTAGTTGTATGGAAAACTGAATTGTTATTACTCATATGTGGACATTTCTTGCCAGATTTTTTATGAAATTTATATTACAGGTTTATATCATCATTTTTTTTTGACGAGTTTGAAAATCAGGGCTGAACAATTATGGCAAAGCCACAAGATCTTATATCTACCAAAAAAGTTTTTCTCAGTCCAAGAAAAATTGGTAACCACAAAAATATGAATCCACTGAATTATCAAAAACTCATACTGAAATAATTCCTGGTGTCAATATTTATGAACATTTATACCCAATCAACATGTATTTCTTTGTTTATGTCAGTATTCATTATTATATCCCATGCAACAAAGTTGCGTATGGTGTAGTGTTTTTAACCAATCTGTCCATCAATACATCTATCTGTCAGTCCCGTCCTTCTTGTCACATCTCTTCGAAACCACACAGCAGAATTTCATGAAACTTTGTAGATAGTAAGGACATTCTATCTAGATGTGTATATCAACAGGAAATTATGATTCAGTTTTCTTTAATTTGCTTCTGTGCTGCACACTAAGTTGTGTTTGCTTGTTTGTGAGATCGACAATGTAATCAATTCTAGCTTTCTTTGTGTCTAATAAGATGATTGCTTACTAAAACATGCGGATTATAACTTAGCAATGCTTGTTAAACTTTCTTGACCCAGTTTTATATTTATTGGAGCTTCAACAAAATTTATGAATTCTCTATAAAATTGTCAATCTGAGTAAGTACACACTCAAATAATTTATTTGTTAAATAGTTACTTCTCTTTTTTAGCTCACCTGACCGAAATGGACAAATGAGCTTTTTTCATCACTCAGTGTCTGTCGTCCCCCATGGTCCGTTGTTAACTTTTACAAAAACTTGGCCACAATCATCATTGAGTTATCTAGATTAAAAAATGTATCCCATTACCCTGCATGCCAACCAACATGGCCGCCATGGCTAAAACTAGAACATAGCGGTAAAATGTAGATTTTGGCTTATATCTTTGAAACCAAAGCATTTAGAGCAAATTTGACAGGGTTAAAATTATTCATCAGGTCAAAATCTACCTGCCTGAAATTTTCAGACAAATCAGACAACCCTTTGTGGGGTTGCTGCACCTGAATTGGAAATTTTAAGAAAATTTTGCAGTTTTTGTTGAGCCTGCGACTTTTGTCGCAGAAAGCTTGACATAGGGATAGTGATCCGGCGGTGGCGTTAGCTAACTTCTTAAAAGCTTTATATTTTAGAAGGTGGAAGACCTGGATGCTTCATACTTTGTATATAGATGCCTTATGTTACGAAGTTTCCATCTGTCACATGTCCATTGTCCTTGACCTCATTTTCATGGTTCAGTGACTAAAGATTTTTTGTAATGTTAATTTCTCTCTTATTATGAGTTATAGGATAACTATATTTGGTATGTGCGTACCTTGCAAGGTCTTCATGCCCGTCAGACAGTTTTCACTTGACCTCAACCTCGTTTCATGGATCAGTGAACAAGGTTAAGTTTTGGTGGTCAAGTCCATATCTCAGATACTAGAAGCAATAGGTCTAGCATATTTGGTGTATGGAAGGACTGTAAGGTGTACATGTCCAACTGGCAGGTGTTATCTGACCTTGACCTCATTTTCATGGTTCAGTGGTTATAGTTAAGTCTTTGTGTTTTGGTCTGTGTTTCTTATACTGTATGCAATAGGTCTACTATATTTGGTGCATGGAATGATTGTAAGGTGTACATGTCTAGCTGGCAGGTGTCTTCTGATCTTTACCTCATTTTCATGGTTCAGTGGTCAAAGTTAAGTTTTTGAGTTTTGGTCTTTTTTTCTAATACTATATGCAATAGGTCATCTATATTTGGTGTATGGAAATATTTTATGATGTACATGTCAGTCTTGCAGGTTTTATTTGACCTTGACCTCATTTTCACAGTTCATTGCTCAGTGTTAAGATTTTGTGTTTTGGTCTGTTTTTCTAATGCTATAAGCAATAGTTCAACTATATTTGTTGTATGAAAGGATTGCAAGCTGTACATGTCTGCCTGGCATGGTTCATCTGACCTTGACCTCATTTTCATGGTTCATTGGTCAATGTTTAGTTTTCTTGTTAAGTCTGTATCTTAGAAACTATAAACAATAGGTCAACTATATTTAGTGTATTGAATGATTGTAAGGTGTACATGTATTTCTTGTTTGGTTTATATGACCTTGACCTCATTTTCTTGGATCATGTTAAGTGTATGTGATAGTTGTAGAAAAGCTTTATATTTAGGACTACCAACATAATATCAATGATTAGTAAAGAAGGCGAGACATTTCAGCGTGTGCACTTTTGTTGGTTATTTTATTTAAATTATTATAGATAGAGATAAACTGTAAACAGCAATAAAGTACAACAAAGTAAGATCTACAAAATGGTCAATTGACCCCTTAAGGAGTTATTGCCCTTTATAGTCAATTTTTAACAATTTTTATAAAGTTTTGTAATCTTTTACAAAAATCTTCTCCTGAAACTACTGAGACAAATTTAACCAAACTTGGCCACAATTATCATTAGAGTATTTGAAAAAAAATGTGTCTGATGACCTCGTCTACCAACCAATATGGCAGACATGGCTAAAAATAGAACATAAGGGTAAAATGCAAGTGTTGTCTGTAATTTTTTGAACCATTATAAATAGAGAAAATCTGAAATGAGCAAAAATTTTCAGAATAATGAGTTTACCAATTGTCCATATATGTCAAAACTGTTAGGCAAATTTCTTATAGGAGTTATTGCCCATAAATGAATTTTTCATTTTTGCCTATTTATAATATAAAAAAAAACTATGATATTTAGAAGAGAAACATTTTTTCCGTTATGCTTTATATGATTTAAATTATAGTAGATAAATAAACACTTTAAATCACAAAAATTACCAGCAAGGCAAGATCTATTAAAAAGTCAAATGTTGCCGATGTTGTTAGTAGACTGTCACTTTTCATAGGAGTGATTGCACTTAAATGAGGATTTTTTTTACCCTCTTTTGAGTTTTGAGCAAAAACTGAAGAAGATAGAGAGTAACTAAGCAGACTGAAAGATCAGTAATACAAGATAAACAAAATAGAGATTTTTGTCATGAAGTGTCAATGTTGGAGAGTGTCCTTTGTTTGATATGCACAAGGTGAGCGACACCAGCTCTTTAGAGCCTCTAGTTTTAAATTAGTATATTACGGGTGAAATATTGTGTAAATTTAAAAAAAACAAGCTTGAACTTTTATCTTCTAGCTAAAGATATATAATCAATTTGAATGATTTGTTGAAATTTGTACATATATTTTATTGATTGAATCTAACTTATCTTATTTTTAAAGGCTTTTTACATTTATTAATTGATATATATAGTCACCATCATTTTAAAACATTCAAGACATTACCAATTTAATCTTGATCAATTATTATAAAAAAATTATTAAATGTTTGTATATATTAATTGCAGTATGTGAATTTTTCAATAATACTGCATTTTACAATTATTTATTTACATGACTGGATGTACATCTCACCAATCTGCATTATTATTCTATTTTAATTTTTTTATATTGAATGTTCATTCACTTTTGTATATATGTATATATATAATAAAGTATATGTGTAGAATTTGTAGTTTTTCATTATTATTAAAAATTGTGTGTGTAATTGCTAACTCAGAGTACACTTGCATGTTGCTGTCGAACACACACGTTAATAATCATGAGCTTACAATTTGTGAACAGATTTGAAAATGCTCCATTTTTCAAAAGTTGCTAATAAATCTATATGAATAGACACCTTAATTGTTACATAGTATTTAGGGGAAATTTTCAAACATGGTTTTCAAAAAGTTGTATCTGTGTTGTTGAAATCTTTAAGCTTGGTTTAATTGGTTATTATGGTGTAGTTAGTTAGTTCTATGACGTTTGATAGTCTATCTATTGAAACACATTTGGTATACTTGATTTTTGTTGTATTCATGGTGAAGTAAGATAGTACATTGATATTGGATGGTCTTATCTATTGAAACATGTTTGTTATAATTGGTTGTATTTGTGTAGTAAGATAGTACTATGATGTTAGATGGTCTATCTATATATTGAAACATCCTTTGTGTAACTGGTTGTAATGGTGTACTAAGATAGTACTATGATGTAAGATGGTCTATCAATTGACACATGCTTGGTATAATTGGTTGTAATGGTGTAGTAATATAGTACTATGGTGATTTTTCGATGGAAACCAAATTTGTTGGTAAAGGGAAACCACCCTATGTCAAATGTTCAACAAAAATAAACAATTTTCTATAATTGGAAGGTATACATAATCTGTCAAAATGACGAAATCAAATTAAGTTGTCCTTAATCCACGAAGATTGGTACCCAAGAAAATAATTGAATTCTCAGTATCTATTGAAACATTCTTTGTATAATTATGGTGTGGTAAGATATCACCATGATGTTAAAAGGTCTAACTTGGTAAAATTGGTTGTAATAATGTAGTGAGATAGTACTATGATATGATGTTAGATGGTCTACCTGATTGAATTATACCAAGGATGTTCAATAGATAGACCATCTAAATAAACTAATCATAGATACCAGGATTGAAATTTCATATTTGCGCCAGACGCGCGTTTCGTCTACAAAACACTCATCAGTAAAGCTCGAATAAAAAAATGTTAAAAGGTCAAATAAAGTACGAAGTTGAAGAGCATTGAGGACCAAAAAATTCCATCAATATTCATCAAAGTTAGGTGTATGTAAGTTGCATTGGTCTGTACTTGAGGTACAGTTGATGTGTACGTCGAAAGTTTGGATGGGAATACAGATCAATATTCATCAGAGTTGGGTGTATGAAGAATGAAATGGTCTATACTTCTGGTTGCATTGGTCTGTACTTGAGGTGCAGTTGATGTGTACCTCAGGTAGACAAACCCTGTCGAAAGTTTTGATGGTAATACACATCAATATTCATCAGTGTTGGGTGTATGTAAGTTGCATTGGTCTGCACTTGAGGTGCAGTTGATGTGTACCTCAAGTAGACAAAGCTGTCGAAAGTGTTGATGGTAATGCACATCAATATTATCCAAGTGAGGTTTATCTAGATTGAAATGATCTGTACTTGAGGTGCAGTTGATGTGATCCTCAGGTAGAAAATCCTGTCGAAAGTTTGGATGGGAATACAGATCAATATTCATCAGAGTTGGGTGTATGTAAGTTGCATTGGTCTGTACTTGAGGTGCAGTTGATGTGTACCTCAAGTTGACAAAGCTGTCGAAAGTGTTGATGGTAATGCACATCAATATACATCCAAGTGAGGTTTATGTAAGTTGCATTTGTCTGTACTCGAGGTGCAGGTCTTGTGAACCTCAAGTAGACAAAGCTGTAGAAAGTTTTGATTATAAAACACATCAATATTCATCAAAGTAAGTTTTATCTAGATTGAAATGATCTGCACTTGAGGGGCAGTTGATGTGTACCTGGAACGTGAAGCCTGGCAAAAAAATCATTGGTCAGATGACAGTAGGTTTCTGTTACGACCAGTAGACGGCAGAATACGATTTTGGACGACTGTATATATACACTCAAACCAGATGAACATACATGTGTATTTTCCTCACAACTTTCGACAGACTTTGTCTACTTAATAAACACATTAACTGTACCTTAAGTACAAACTTTGGTTACATCTACTCAATCGACACAAATTTTGACTTTGGTTACTTATGGTCACCTAGCACATATTTGCTTCCTTTGTTCTCTTTACACAAATGTTGACTTTAGTTACCTTTGTTTTCTATAGACATATATTATTACCCATGCTCACCTAACATAAAATGTGCATTGTGTTACCTCTGGTCACCATACACAGATATTTAATCTGGTTACCTCTGGTCGCCTTGCAAGGATATTGACTATGTTTACCTCTGATAATCTTACACATTTACTTACTTTGGTTACCTCAAGTCCTCTTACACAGATAATCACTTTGGTAACTTCTGTTCAACTTGCAATGATATACCCTGTGTTAACCTCCGGTCACCTTGCAATGATACTCTGGTCACATTACACAATTATTCAATTTTGTTACCTCTGATCAACTTGCACATATATTGGCAATGGTTACCACTTGTCATCTAACAAGTATACTGACGTTGGTTACCTCTGGTCACTTGTACACATATTGACTATGTTTATATCTGGTCAGCTCACAATGATGTTCTTGTCACATTACACAGATATTCAATTTGGATACCTCTGGTTAACTTACACAAATATTCACTTTGGTTACCTCTTTTCACCTTGTACTGATATTGACTTTGTTTCCCCCGGTCATCTTACAACAATGTTCTGGTTCCTTTTAGACAGATATGACTAGGTTAACCTCTGGTCACCACATTTACAAATACCCAATATCACCTAGCACAGGTATTGATTTCTTTACCCCTGATCACCATACACAGATAGTGACTATGGAAAGCTAAAACTGTAAATATTTTTAAGTAAATGCATACAATGGACAATTATACCAGTTATAGTTGTCGAGATAGTAAGATGAAGTTTACTGGATGTTTTCTATCATACAAATTTAAGATAAAAAGATGAAAATAAAATAAACACAGTCTTTATCTGTTTTTGGTTTTAAAGTATTTTTCTTGGACAAAACATTGTAAGGCGTCGCATGGTTCCAAATTATATGCGAATAAATTCCAAAATAATTTTTTAATGGCGGTATACTATATAGGTCATTGGAACATGCAATATTTTCGTTTCTGTATGCAGCTTGACTAGAAAAGTTCATAAAAAAATATCAACAAAATCAATAAATATTCAGCAAAAATTTAACAATTTCGTAAAAACGTTTACAAGTCCCTAGGCAAACGGACTTTGATCCGAGAATTAACCATTAAATGCAAATGGACCAAGGAAAAACGAACATTGAAGTATAAAATTTCGATACAACCTGGGAACAGTATATCCAATATACATGTTCCTGATACAACCTTATCTAATCATGGATAATAAATCTTGCAACAACGTATATTATCATTTTTGTAAAAGCAGTTTCCCTTCATTCTAACCTCAACAGACATAATTTTTAGTCCGTTAAACTTAAACAAAGACGTTTTTTTTAATTGAAATTTCCGTTACGATAAGCAGGCTGATGTGCCGAACTTCTATCTCGTTAGTTAAATGAAAAAAAAAGTTATATGCGTGTAGGATGTTATGCCATTTAGATTCAAAATTGTAAGAGCTAAGTATTAAATAGGGCAGGGCATCCGCTCAAATATAGATCAGATATAAAGAAATGTTCGTTCAAGACCTGACGACATGTTATAACCTTTAACAACGGCTACGAATTTAGGACACGGTCCCCAAACCAAAGCAAAGATTACGACAGGTTAGTGTTGCTTCTATCAACCGAACAACATGTTGGTATTTTGGGGCATTTGCCCTAAAATAATCAGCTGCATGGAGATAAAAACGTTTTCATAGAAATATACTTGAATTTGCATCGGATTTCAAGTTTTACATCAGGCGTTGCTTTATACGAATATCTTTTGTGTATAATTTTGGGGCTGGAGCCCCAAATTTATACAAGCTTGTCCTTAACATAATTTTTAATATTATCATAATGCATTCAAGTGAAGTAGGAAAAAGAGAATGAAATATATTTTCTCTTTTTCATACAGACATCGTTCTTTTCGCAATCACAGGTGTTGTGAAATCGTCGTATTATTATTATGTGCTATATGAGGTCAAAGGACCCCGTTCAAACCTGAGGTAGATGAGTTGAAATTCATTGTATTTAACTTACAATTGTTCAACGGGAACAGACCCGTCTTAGTTAGGCTTCAGTGCGTAAAGTATACATTAAACTATTTGACACACATCGGTGTTTTTTTTATGCATGACATTTGCAAATAAGAGTAAGTAAACACGAAGCTAGATATATAAATGGCCAGTTCATTTTCCTACAATAAACAGAATTTGTTGTTTAAACATTTTTTTATATAAATGACAGTTAACTTCTGACTTAAAAAAAACTGTTTGTGGAAGAGAATTTCAAGGCCGACAACCCAATATAATAAACTTTTAGTTTGTCTGAGAAGAGTACGATTAGACACTCCAAAATTTATTTGGTTTTGTTCGAAATTGTTTCCTTAAACTAGCAAGCTATATTCTTATTCATATCCTTTTATCCTTCTGAATTCACAAATATTTCATGAGTATCTTAGCATTTGAACATGTTTAATTTGATTTTCTCTCCGAGAGATATTTTTTTGATATTGTATGATAAAACCTTAACGAAAATTAAAAAAAAACATAAGTGTCTCTGCGATGCGGTATAGTGGAAGATAATTTAAAGTTATATTATAGTTGTTTATTTTTTTAGCGAATGATCCGAAAAGTCAAAAATTTATTTCACAGTAACTTAGATATATAGACACATCTCAAATCTTGTTGAAAGTTTTGATGGTAATACACATCAATATTCATCAGAGTTGGGTGTATGTATATTGAATTGGTGTGCACTTGAGGTACAGTTGATGTGTACCTCAAGTAGACAAAGCTGTCGAAATTTTTTTGTTGGTTATACACATCAATATTCATCAAAGTTGA